CTAAAAGCTTTTCAGAGGCCCAGATAAGCTGCATATCTGGGTAAAATATGCATAGAAAATTTCAAATTACGCATTGAAAAATAATTGTTGCGTACCAATTACGCATTTAAAATGCTAGATACGCAAAAGGTTTAAAACAAATGCGAACGGAATATATTTATAAAAATCGCTTTCGTAATGAAAAAGACATCAATTGCTATCAAGTTGTACTGTCAGTATAGGATGAGGGATTTTTTATGAAATCATTTCCATTATATTTAACTTGGTTTTGATTAGGTATGACATAAGGCAGAAAATACCTGCTTAGTAAACTTACTCAATGACATAATACTTAGGTGAGTAAAATGACTGAAATACACATATTTGAAAGCAGTGGGTAACGGAAACTGAAATACCCACTCAACATTCATAATACCACCGCTCCAAAAATACAGTGGGTACAGTACCCACATGAGCTAAATCTTATCTGGAGCTCTGACTGTTAACAGTCTTTGATAGACAATCTGGACATGATATCATAACACCCAGTCTTAATGTCTTACTAAACTTGCAGTCTATATTATTTGAACCCAGCCGTTAAACTGCTATCTTTCATGAACCTTGTGTTCCTTCTAGACGATGAAACAAAGGTGCCCGACACATCTACCAGTGGCCAGTGTTCAAGCTTAGATTTAAAATGTTGGGCCCATGGAGCCTCTCGCTTTCCAAGCCATCTGAATTCTTTTGGGGCCATTAATTTATTACTAGTTTTATTTTTACAAAATAAAGGACAATTAATTCATAATGTGTATAATTTAAGCCATGACTGTTGAAAATCTTTCTCACTAGCACTACTGTTATAAGATTCTCGCGCTTTGATAGCCGTACTTGAATAACAGCAGACCCGGTATCATTCTCACGTTTATTACCTTCATCCCCTTTCGCTTTGCGAACTTTCGGGAAGAATTTTAATAATGAACTAGTCTCACTTTTCTCACTGTTTTTGTTTATATTTCGTTTGTTGTCAGCTATGCTTAGTTACCGAGTCTGCACGATGCCAAACAAGTGTTAGCAATATTACAAGCGATATGATTGTTGACTCAAATCAGCCAAGTTGCTAACCAATGAAATTTACTGTATTTTCAAGGTTTGTCATTCAAAAAACATTCAGCTTCTTCTGTTTACGAAAATAACCGAGACATTATCAATGATAAGAAGATAAACTGCCAGATTTAGTTCACGTCCTTTCCATCTGTAAATGACGTCGTAAGGTTTGGATACTCAATGAGTACGTAATAATTTTCTTAAAAAGAAACAAGAAAACAAAACTGATTTACAATAAATTAATTCAAAGTGGCCTACAGGCGTATATGGATAATTTTGTGTGTCAGATCCAAATATTATGTGTGAATTACTCAATACCGCAGCCTAGCTTGAACACGGAGTGGCAAATGTACAACAACTGCCTACGTCATGACATAGGTTGGGAGGCAGGCTCTTCCTTCATAAACTTACATTCCTTTAAACTTACAAACTCAGACCCATGCTTTCAATACACACATTTCTATTGATTAATGTATTTCTTCACTTAAGAATCAGAAGGGATAGATATAAACATGAAACAACTAGATACTTCAGACTAATGTTGGGGCTGTGTACTTTTCATTGAACTATCTTTGAGTGATTGAGTTTAGTTTTACGCCTCACTTAGCAATATTCCAGCTACATGGCAGCAGACTGTAAATAATGAAATCTGGACCAGACAATCCAGGGATCCACAGCATGAACATCGATCTGTGCAGTTGGGAACTGATGACATGTGTCAACCAAGTCAGAGAATCTGACCACCCGATCCTGTTAGTCACCTCTTATGACAAGCATGGCTGACTGAATATCAATATTCTAACCCGGACCTTCACAGGTGAACTATTTTTGAAAGCACATGACAGAAAACACAGTTTGAAACATTTTGGAATGGGTGTCACCTGCTTCCATAGTAATAGCAGTGTCAGACCGCCGGAGATGGTCTAGATTTCTGGCGGATGGTCTAAATTTACAGGTAGCTAGCCAGCCGATTGTGTGGTAATTTTTTTTAGATGTTCCATACATCTGAGTAAATTCTGTACTGGTCTGGTTAAATCCATATTGGGCTGGTAACATTTTAAAGTTACCAGCCCTGATGTCTGGCTGGATTTTTGGCTTATTTCATACACTGGTAATAGTTTCTTAGTTTTCATCATTACGGGGATAAGGGGTTAGAGATATGTTATTAGATGCCAAAGTTATGGAAGAATACAAAATAATGGGTGAAACATAGTTGTGTCAAGGATTATCCTGGTACACAATGTTTTGGGGTTATTGAAGATTAAATGTTTTATGTTTTCAAACTGGTAAAAGATCTAATTTGATTCCTTATCATATTTAATGAAACTATGTAAAGTTGCTTACATTAGTTGCTTCTTATTTTAAAGTTGGCCTCACAGTAATTCATGTCATCTATAAAAGATTTGTTTCTTGCTCAGAGAAAAGAGAACATAATGTCATTCATTACTTGTCACGGAAGGAACAAAATACACGTAAAAATAAACCAAACATTATATATGTCTATAAATGATCTTTTCTAGAGCTATAATACATTTTGGGTGTTCTTATTTCACTTCTGCTATACTAAAATTTACAAAGTAATCACATCGATATCTGAAAGACTTGTAAGGACACATGTACTAGTGTTGGGAATTGGTGTAAATCTCATAATTGATGATTGGTTCATTACAACCCATCAATCATCGAAAATAATTGGTTAGCGTCATTTATCAAATTTTCCTGGTTGTTTGTTAATGCATAAAAAACAAAGAAAAAAACATGTAGTTCTCTCGTTTTTTTCACAAATTGCACAAAATGCATTTGCAAATTTCACATCTTTAAAGGATGACTAGTGTGTTAGGAACATACATTTCTGGAGTTGTTAAGATAAATTTAATCAGGACTTGGAACGAGCTTGTAGTGCTGATGCAATGTAGAGACAAAATCCAACCTCTTGAAAAAATATTGTTATTGCAAACAAGTGTTCCAAAATTGTTTGTGTTCGATTATGAGAAATCATGATGGGTTGCTTGGTCGCTTTTGACATTACACCAATCTTCATTATTTCAATTAATTGACCACCACTAATATGTAATTCATATGATCAACAGTTAATCTCAGTTGAGCACAATAATATTTTTTTAGAGTGTTTGAAATCTCAATGTGGACAACATATCATAGCAATTTGCCCATCATTTGCCAGACCCCACTAGGAATACAGCTCATAGCAAGGGGGCATTTGAAACAAAAACTAATCATTTTCCATGATCATTTGGTTCTTTCCCTGGTAATTAGAAAAAATGTATCTATGTAAAATGTGTAATGCAAAACCTTGCCATGTAATACAGGCATGTCATGCCCTTGCCATGCTATATGCTTTCACTGTTACAATATTGCTAGGGGTGGTGGGGTAGTCTAGTGGTTAAAACTTTCGCTTGTCACGCCAAAGAGCTGGGTTCGATTCACCACACAGGTACAAAGCGCAAAGCCCATATTTCTGGTGTCCCCCCCACCATGATATTGCTGGAATATTGCTAACAGAGGTGTAAACCTAAATTCACTCACTACAATATTGCTATGTGTTATTCTGTCTTCATCAGGATGCTTGCTGCACCTCCATATAACACATAAAGACGCCAACATTGCCACAATACTACTACTAATAATAATAATAATGTGTCCATTTATATAGTGCCAAACTCCACACTAGGTATGCTCATAGCGCTAACAATCAAGGCACAGCACATTATTACACCGGATAACCCAAGCTGCCTGTCAGGCCCTAGAAGGTTATAGTCATATGACTTTTTCCACCAGGTACCCATTTTCCTGCTGGGTGAACAGAGACAATTTTGAACAAACTCACTTGCCTAAGGTGAGACCACATGTGTCACATGTGCTTCGCTAGGGCAGGAAGTCCTAGAAACTCAGGAGTCAAGCTGCCAAACACGGTCACCCATCCAAGGGCTCTCCGAGTTCGACGCTGCTTAACTTCACCGATTTGTGACGTGAGCTTTGAGCACAGGACCACGCACCACCAATACTAAACAAAGTATATACCACCATATGACGGTACTAATATCCCATTGATCAGGCTCATGTCATTAATATTTCATTGACACAAGAATTCTATTTTGACCATTAAAAGCATAACACAATGCATTAAGAATCCACACATTTCTGTGACAATAATAGTAATAATTAACTCTATGGCTTATTTAATAAGAACATATGTGCATGTATATCATCCAATAATCAGCATTTTATTACTGCTGTGTCGCTTAGAGTTGGAAACAAAAAGTTTACGCATCAAGAATGGCCTTGTGTATCTACCGAAGGTCATGTCATGTTCATTTCTACAACACGGCATTGTCCTGTAGCCACACATGACCTCAGGTCACCTGCTGACCAACGAGCGAGAAAACATGAAATCAACAGTTTCATGACCACTCAAAGAGTACGTCAACAAAAGACCACAACATTCCGTATTTATATCCTGGTGGACAAGACAGAACACGGGCAAACAACATGAGGAAAAAACTTGGTCGGTGGTCGAAGCCAACTTTTGTCAACAAAAACAATATTGCAAATCATTTGCAACCGCAGTTTTATAACATTCTCCAAAAGTAGTTCAAAGTACATGAAGTTGAATGGCAAGATAGAGGATATAGTCACCATTTTGCCACAGTATGCAAACACGAGAGTCACCCTTTGTTGTGTTGACAAACCCTCTGAACACGCGAGACTGCTACTTCTTCTCGCTTTCCGCTTGGAAAATCTCTCTCGCATTGAGGTGAGCAAATGGTAATAACTACACAAATACCGAGTGTTGGGGAGATGGGTGGAGGAGGATCCGTATACAGTCACCCACTCAGCGCGGCTACACTCAAAAACCCAGTCATACAGTTACTTTGGAATAAAATTTGGTTAGTTTGTACCTGTTCCTTTTCCCCACTGGAGGCCGCCATTAGAGACAAAGGTGAACGCATGCGCAGAGAGAGTCTTCTGTACGCCCAAATTTCCCGCGCTTGTTGGGATAAAATGAGCAAGAATATCAGTATTACATGCAAATAGATATACAGTATAAAATTGGTTAGCACATATATGATTTATACGTCAAGAATATTAGACATCTTAAGTAAGCGCCAATTAAATATGTATGCTAAAATTGTCTTATATACAGTTGTGAAACGGTTAATGAATTATTTTCAGGCCCTAATTCCAATCCGACATGGGAAAGCCATACTCGCTGATATCTTTGATTGTTTTATGCTTTGTGTTATGAAGGTTTTAAGAAAAAACACGACTGATTCTTAGATATAAAAGTATTATTTCTTTTAGCGTGTCAAAATTTTCTTTAACGTATCTCCCATATGAAACACGGCACTCTGTACGTTCCACCATATAGTCAGAATTCTTAAATAGACAGACAGATAAATAATCCATATGGATTTGCAAGATGTAACATGACGTCTTCAGTATATTAGATGCGTCATATGTACAGACAGTTCTATGTGAGAAGAGATCGAGATGTAGGCTATTCCAAATCTAGATACGGACACAATTTAAGGCGTTTAAACGGCAAGATATTTCCGGCATAAGGACAGATAACGAAAACAACTCATTCTTTTCACACATGTTTATTAATTTGTAACATTTCATTGTCTCAAATGTCGATCCATTTCCAAAAACACGACAAACAGTTTAGAAGAGTTGAAGGGGTTGCTGCCCATGAAGAACTCCGCGTATTGAGCACGTGACTGTACAGCTCTCACAATATATATATTGAAGTATCAGGAATCCTTGCAAGTTCATAGTGTACTGATTTTATTCCCACCTTGGACAACAGAAACCCATCTTTGCAAACAGTGGTTAACTATCGACCTCCGACTCGCCTGTGAAGGTGTATGGTTCTTGCTACAGGGTACCTCGGACAGCTACAAACACCGCTCCACCGTGACCTACTTTCCCCGGAGCGAGACGGACACTGTTTGATAACAACGCAACTGCTCGCATTTAGTCGATGCTGGGCAGCTTGTACTCCCCGAACAGTGACGAATATCACTGATCAATTCGTGTTGCTTTATTTCTACATACCTTCCACATTGATAACACTTGATCAACTACTGGTTGTCCAGATGCTCCAGGTGTCGCGAGGACCCGCGACAATTCACCAGCCTTGCAGCCCAGGGCATCGAGGGTATAGTGCGCTTGTTCGCGTGATAACAACGGCACTATATGTATCAATTAAGAGCGTCGGTGACATAGTACATTTCACAACCTCTTACATATCAAAGATTCGGAGACATTCAGACAAGCCCTTAAGTATCTTTTATTTTTCTCTGAATCTGGACTGGGGATAAATTATGACACCATATTCGGCGAGATGTTTCATTGTAGCTGAAGGGGTCGTTGTCGGCACGGGTACTACAGATGTAATTCCCAAGTACGTTTCTGTATACAGAAAAGTACCGTCGCCAAAATCATCAGACAGAAACGCACCCTAATACGATTCCATTCTGCATTGTGTCGTTTTCTTGATCGGAACTGCCATACTGTTGTATTAGATGCATTTGATTGCGTTATATAAGAAACGAGCATACATATGTACAACCAGGATAATCTTATATAGTCTCCCTTTGTACAACGCATACCACTCGCAATCATTTCAACGGGGACAACTACATATGGTTTCGGTTTTGGTTGCAAAATATGGACTCGTCCGTCGTTTACGGTACCCGGTGCGTTTCTATAGTTTGACTGTTCAGGGTGCATTTCTGTATACAGAAACGGACCTGGGGTATATATATGTAGCACCCGAGTCCGCAACGACCCCTTCAGCTTCATTATATCGTGTTTTATTTCGCAATTCAGGAACTTATAACAACTGTAAATAAACATCAACCATCACCTTGAGTATACATGTATAGCTGTTTCTCCTCCTCGCTATCTCTGGTCCAAGACAATCACCATGTGACTGCTCTTGCAATGTTTTCATTATCATATTTTGGGATATATTTCCAAATTGCGTCGCATCTTATGAAAAGAACTATGCAGGTGTCTCAACTTTTGTGGAGAACTGTCCTATTGTTAAGAGGCGTCTAGTGGAATCGGTTGGTCAGACTGGTTGACGAATGCCATCGTATTCCAGTAACGTATTCCGTGCCCAGGACGTCGGTTCAGATTTGATTAAAACGCCGTGGTGTAGATGTATATTGCTGAGTACGGCGTTAAACAAGCAAACAACCCTTACTAAGCCACCAGCCCCTTAACTTGTCACTAGGCCGTTACCCTACACAAGATACCCTGGCCTGTACATGACCCCCCACCCTTGAACCTAAAATGAATGACTCAGTCATCACAGCAAGGATACTGAAATCTTTTCTTAAATTAGCTCTCCACCCACATCATGTTAGGGACCGTTCATAATTTATGGCAGGGGTGGGTTGGGGTGTGAAGATGATTTTTATGCAGAAGCATGTACAATGTGAATGCACCCACCCTACAATTTACGTACAAAGTAAGTGACCACCCCCTTCCTCCACCCTTGGACATCATGTATACAAAATCAATGATCCCTCCCCTTCCCATAATTTTTTAAACATAGTTTTTAAATATTTTTATGTACAAAACCTTGACACCCCTACCTCCCCAGAACAAAATGGGTGACCCCGCCCTAAAATCATCACCCCACCCCCATCCCCCAGCCAGGAATTATGAACGGCCCCTTAGGAAAACAAATCATCGAATTAACAGTACATTAAACTTGTACAAAAATATATGTTAGGTTTAAAGCATAAACATAAACCTGGTTGTCTCTTTGAAACAGAACAATACATGTCGACGGTGTAAAGATAAAAGACAAATTTTACTCAGAAATTATGTATATATATATATATCCTTCGCTGTTTTGAACTGAAACGTCACATAGCTCACGGTCAAGACAATATGAATCATGTTGTGGTTTGGTTTGTATAAGCTTTAGATGTAAAGTTAACATGAACATTCCGTTTCTACATACTCAATTCCAAACCTGTGAAAAAGCCCACCCCTCCGTCAACTATGCACAACTTCATCATTATATATTAAAGATGTCTCAAATGTTAGGTTGTTAATAACCCTCGACAGTATTCTAGTATTCCAGCTATAAGACCGAAACCTGTACATCCTTCAGTCTGGCCCAAAGTCACTGAAATATCATGAACAGGCTGACTGAAAAAACGGACTCATTTCTGTATTTCTACATTTCTACAATTTAATCTGTAATTCCAATTAATCCGTAAAATGAATGGAACCTGATTTGTGAAGAAACACAGGTAGTCAGCACATTTTCCATTATTTCTGTCAGGAACCGGAAAGGAGGAACACGTGATCAAGCACACACAGTGACAGTGGATATATGTCAGGAAGTTGCGCCTATCAAACTCTCCACTGTCTATTTATAAAGGTATTTAAAAAAAAGAAATATTTCACGTAACTTCCTCACTGAAAACGACCAGATTGAATGAATGCAATGTTCCCAATTCCGGTAACGGGTCCGTGTTTAATAATGCAAACTTGTTCTCGTCACTATATGACTGGTATAATGCCGATGTGACGCAAAACCCAACTCAACTCAACTCAACGGTAACGGGTCCATGGGACAGACAGGAGCACAGAATAACACGCACCCAGCCTAACAGACCGTTCATAATTATGTGTTGTGTTGTGTGGTGATGGTTTTTATGGAAAAGCATGTACAATGTGACACCCCCACCCACCCTACAATTTATATACAAAGTAAGTGACCCCCTTGCATGTCATGCACAGAGTCTATGACTATGGCCCTATGTTACACATGGTATTTATTGCTTAATATTGTAGGTACTAAGTTAAACACACACACACACACACACACACACACACACACACACACACACACACACCGTGCACACATAAATTATGAATGGTCCCTGATTCTTATATTATTTCGCCACCCTCCCAGTGCTGCTTCGAAATTCCCAAACACCCAGAAGCAACATATTGATTTTATATCTTTATGCACACGAATTTGTTTATGAAAACGCGAAACATGTGCCAAGACTATCATGCTTGTGTATTGCTCTGTTGGAAACAACCTACCAAAACTGTCGACAATCCTGCCGCATGCACAGGTTCTTTCCCCTCTATATAACATGTCCACATGTAGAGTATATACACGTATTAATCACATCTCCTTCAGCTGGAACATGCCATGATCATTTTATTTAAAGCCTCATAGCCCCATTAATATTACAGATTAACAATAATTTGTTCATATTCAGCGAGAAAAAGGGTAAAAGAATATATTTTCAAATCAATACCCGACAGCCTGCTATGTACCACATCATCCAGCTACCCCAAGCAACATACCTGCGGAATGTATTTCTGTATATATGGGTTAAAGCTGTAACGTGTCATGTTACATTCGTTTTCACACAAGATAGAGATTAACACCATTTGCTGTCTAGGGGAGTGGATGGATCTTCTAGATATGTATTTTCCTAAAATAACGTTAAGATTCTAAACAAATCAAATCTATTTGATGTCGAAGCCGTACCGAAGTTGTCCATCATATAAGCGTGAAGTGCTCCACAAATGGACAATTGCAACTGTCAGTGTGTTTTATACATCATTCAAAATGACGAGTGACTATAGTGACGAGAATTGGCCTAAACACATTATTACATACAATACCCAAACGCCGGTAACATCACGATGGTGGCAGCATCAACTTCCTTGCTCTTACACGTTTATAGTAAAATTATACGTTTGTCTACAATATCTAACTTTCACACGGAGAAGTGTTTAAACATACATGAATGTCTTCTTCATAACCATTTACACTGAGCAAAAACTAAACCCCTAAACACAAACACAGCATTCAGCTCAGTAGAACTCCTTTTTCCTTCAGCCATTCATTCGCCAACGCCATGACTATTCATCATAAGGGCCAACGTCAAAGGATAACCGCGCCCCGGAACGTGCGTACTTAAA